ACGCATTAGTTAAGTGCCTATGCAGGTTCAAACGCTTAATACACAGAGGATGAACAGCAATACACAAATATCTTTACATATGAAAAAAAAACAAAGGATTAAAATGTTCCAAAAAGTATTATTTATACATAGATATTAAAAACACTGCCTCCATGCCTTCTTCATGTTGGGGGGCTTTTTTCTCAGTTTAATCATGACAATTTGCATTTGTATAATTTTATTATTATTATTTGCAGTATTATTTATTATATGCAATTTTTATATGCAGTTTTAATAAAAACAAGTTTAGTTTTTTCCTCATCCATGAAAGTAAAGGAGTAAAGAGTAAAGGTAAAGTAAGTTATCCTTATGCTGCAGATGGTCTGTCTAACTGTTTTCTCAATAGTGAAGCGTTTCGTTTTTTCATTTACAAAGTCCTTCATGTAAATAGCACCATGGCACAGTCAACCGACTCTTAAAGGGAACGATGGTGAGATGAGACTCTGATTGGTTAAATGCACGTTATGTTCTAAACACATCACCCTTAAAATAGCATAAGTGGATTCAGATACGCCCTTAATGCTTTTGTGCCAATGCGCTTTAGACTTTGCATCTAGATCATTAAAATAGAGTCCATAGACTGTAACTGTGGCTGTTCTTCCCACATCACTCATCAGCAAACAGCGCTGACCATTTTAGAGCCAATCGCAGCTTTTTATGTTGAGCGGGTGAACACAATGACCAATCAAAAGAGTGTAAGAACTCGATTGACAGCGCTCAAAAAGCAAACGGAATAATATTTACAGTATTTGCTATAAATGCTTATATTGTGTTCTGTGCTTAAGTTTTGTAAAAACGTTCAATAAGAGCAGGTACAATTAAAGGTACAGTTCATATATCTGACTGCTTGTATTAAAATACAAAATTGTATTAAATAAAAATTTATTTACAGATTTTAATTTTTTTTTGCTTGTGTTGTGAAGAAAATTTTTTAATTGTGTATAGAAAGAATCATCAATGCACTGTGATGCAACCAAATATCAAATTGAACCGAACAGATGGCATGATAATCGTAACAGAACTGTGAGACTGCTGTAGGTTCACACCCCTATTATTAATACTGAAAACCGTTGTTGCTCTTAATAAAGCTTCAGCCGTTTGAACAGCAGTGCCACTCTTAGCAGGATAATAACCTCCAGAAAAAAAAGTAACATCCATTATTTTCATTGCCACCATACCTACAAAAAAACATGCTCATGTTGAAGACACATTCATGTTTCAGCACAATGTTTCAGAGAAAAACTCCTGACTGTACTGGTCTATACTTGTACTAGTGACCATTTCCTGTCAAGGCTTTATTTTGAACACCATCAATAATGACAGACAGTCCACACTCAGTCTGACAGAACAAGATGAGGTCTCGGAGGTCTGTCTGCTAGAGCAAACAAGACAACTCAATGCTGAAATCGAAGCTGGTGCCACACTTACTATACAACATACTGCATAAAAGGCCACATTTTAAGGGTTTAAATGCTTTCAGAAGACAATGTATGTATTACGCCACCTTGAAAATGACACACGTGTGCTATAAACCTTTACAGCTCACCAAAACCTAGAAAAGGACTGTTTTTTTCTGTTTTGACTATGCTATTCTTAGAATCAAAAGCTTTTTCCCTGAATTTTCTGCACAAAGGAGAGTAGAAGCACAAAATAAAATCATATATTCTCTCTGACCAGAAGAACAACACTTTCTTTCTCCTGGATACTTTTACAATGAAAATGTGGCGGGCATGAAAGAAAGAAGACATTAAGAATACAAGCATGAGAGACAAGGAATAAAAATAAAAAATATAGATGTAAATGAAACTTTTTGCTTTGCATGTTTTGCTTACAGTGAAAACAGTCTGACAGAACATGTCATTGTCCATGTAGGGTACATTGCACATCCCACACTGAAAAGTTTGATATTAATTTATGAATACAATTATGTGTTCATTTTTATGCACTATTATGGGGAACCTATTGGATGAACGAATTACACTCGCCAGCCATTTTATTAGGTACACCTTCCCAGTACTGGGTTGGACCCCTTTTTGCCTTCAGTACAGTCTTATTCCTTCATGGCATAGATTCAACAAGATACTGGAAAATTCCTCAGAGATTTTGATCCATATTGACATAATTACATCATGCAGTTGCTGTGGATTTGTCGGCTGCACATCCATGATGTGAACCACCACATCCCAAAGGTGCTCTATTGCATTGTAATCTGGTGACTGTGGAGGCCATTTGAGTACAGTAAACTCATTGTCATGTTCAAGAAACCAGTCTGAGATGATTCGTGCTTTATGACATGGCCCATTATCCTGCTGGAAGTCGACATCAGAAAATGAGTACACTATGATCATAAAGGGATGGACATGGTCAACAACAATACTCAGGTAGGCTGTGGCGTTGACACGATGCACAATTGGTACTAATGGGCCCAAAGTGTGTCAAGAAAGTAATCCCCACACCATTA